ATGCACCAACTAATGCTGATCTGCCCAACGTAAATCGTTTTAGTTTACGGCGCTCGAGCTCTTCGTTCTATTTAACTAATTTTAGTATTTCACAGAAGGCGTTTAGTAGTTTGGAATTATAAAGATTTTAAAAAAGAAATAAAAGGATTATTAATAACTTGACTTTAAAAAACTTAAAAAATTTGTTGTCTAAATAAACTTATTCCAAATTTCAAGAGCTGATAGAAATGTTCATGAAACAAAATCAAAATTAATAACAAAACTCACTTGACAAGGCTTATCAGTTCTGTCAAAAAAAACAATAAAATAAAAGCTAATTAAGCTGTCATTTAAAATAAACAGATCAGATTACCAAATAGACTCATAAGTCTTCAGAATATTTGAACAACTTAATGATTGAGTAGATGAAAAAATGTTTAAATAAAAACATTAAAAACAAAGGCCACCCACAGACAGAAAACTTCACCCCTTCATAAGCCATTAAAGACCTTTAAACTCATAAAAATCTCATTTAAAGTATTTGAAAGATAAGAAATACAAATTATCAATTGCCTTTCTTGTTTGTTTTTCTCTCAGTTAAATTAGTTCACATTTCCATTCACTAGCACTTCCATATACTAAATATTAAACAGCAATATGAAAACCCAGCTGAACGCACCCATTAGCCAGGGCGATAAGAAAAAAAATATATATTATTCTCCCGCAGCCAGCAAAATATTTTGCTCTCTTATTTCTTCTTTGGGGCCATCGACTTTATTTAGTTTGGAAAGTATTTGCATTAGTTTAATCAAGCTGAATGGCAGGGGAGAGCTCAGCGAAGGGAAAACTATGGCAGACAGACTTGGTCTGATGAAAGTTGACATTTTCCTAAGCTGCTGCTTATCTGGAGTATAAAAGCAAGTGATCCAAGCAACTGATGAGCTGCATTTTCCCTAAGAAATGTCTTTGCCATGATGAAGTCAACGGCTGGGTCGCCATGATACGGCATGGCCACCGCGTTGCATTGCAACTCCTTTCGTGCAGCCAAAGATACACAAACACACTCTCAGATACAGCAAAGAGACGTGTATTGAAAGGCCACATGTGCATCTTCTTGCTGCCATTGCCATATGGCGTGGATGGATTCTATGGAGAACTTTTGGTGTGGCGTCATGTACGAGAATTTTCCTTGGGCGGTGGAAAGGCAAGCAAGCCGATTTCCCAGGGGTCGTGGCAGCGCGAAAACTCGCACATGCGCATACAGTGGGCGGCCACATTTACAGTGGGCAAATATGGGTGGTTGGAATGTGGACGTGCCGCCTGTCTAGGGGGTGGAGGAGGAGGTTGAGGCACATGGAACTGGTTTTTGGGCCCAGGCCACACGCGATGCCTGATAAAGGCTGAATTTGCAATCCACTAAAAAGGCTGTTTGGCAATATGCTAAATTACCTCTTTGGAAGGCAGGGAACTTGTTATTTCTACCAAATGTGTTCAAGAAGTGGAAAAGGGAGCTAAAAGATGGGAGAAGTCTTTGAAAGGGGTTTCTATAAGCCATATTTAATGAGAGATATTTGTTAATTTACATTAATATTTAACGATTAAACAGAATTTAAGTTCAGAAAAGGATCTTTAATGGTCAAAAAAAAAAATTATGACACATAAATTAGACTTTCTTATGGTTAAAATTTCAATATTTATACCATTCAGATCGCCCTCAAATCTTTCTCCCAGTGTAACTCCAAGTAACTCCCATAAAATCATATTTTTAAATAACCTTCTTAGATTCTCCTTATTTATGTGGCAGCCATAAATAGAAACTTGAATAACTCGATTTAAAAATCAATAAATAAATGCAAATAAAGATGGCTACCCATACTGGATTTTCCTCTGCACTTTGGCTACCGTAGGATGCAGCCTCACTTAAGGAAAATAGTTTAACGACTTCTTAGAGAGGCAGCATATTAATTAATTAACTAACTAATGCTCAGGTGTATATGTCACGGCTGCAGTACAAGAAATCTCACTCGTTTTTCCACTAATAATCCGAATAAAATATTTAAACTTATTGCCGAAACCCGTTCCTTCCCTCTCGGGCAGAGGGAATTATTTAACCAAAGTCGAGCCGCTTACCGTAAATTGCAATTTATGCCCCCAGCGGCAGGCCAAGTTGCATCAGTTAACCAGTTTGGTGACTTCAATAAGCCAGTCCCGAAACGGAGGCTCCATTCCGCTTCGAATGAAGTAATCACAATTGATAATTCCTCGATCATATCGCCGGCATATCTGTTATTTTTGGGTTCGTTGATCCACTCGAATGGCCGCCATGCGCCGCCATCAAGTGTCCGGGACTCGCATTTGGTTTCCATAATTTTTACGACTCTGGACACACACCCATCCACTCCCGAGATGGTCAACCGGGGAACTATTATAGTGCATCCAACCCACTGCATCGAAAGACGGACGCGGATTCAATTGTCATAATAACACAGACTCAGTTCGTTTAGAGAAAAGAGTTCGGGGCAGAGGCAGAGGCAGAGGCAGCTGAGGCAGATTGCTTTATGAGGGCAAATATTTGTGCTGCCTGTCGGCATGTGGCATCGAGTCTATATATCCATCTATACAGATACGGATCACAGACCCATATGCCCAGCCCAACCCGTTCGTTCGTAACAACAAGAACTCTGAAAATTGCAATTTATATGGCTGCCATAAACAGAGGCTCGCTGCAGCACTTTCACTTTTCCCGGAATATTAGCAACGCTTCACTTTTTTTAACCAAAAAATGTGTCTCTCTGGCTGCTTTTTTTTTTTGGTAATTGCATTCAGAGCGTAGCAGTCGCAGGTCCCAGGAGGTACCTTTCGAACTCAAAGGTCGTAAAAACCCTTCCCAATGTCGCGACTTCGACCGCTGGGCACAGCCGGAGATCGCCTCCGACGTTCCATTTCCGCAGCAGGCGGCAGGATATTAGTTACTTTCATGTTTTTGAGATTTTTCAAAGAGCTAGTGGAAAATTGTGAAGAATTTTTTTAGTTTTGATTTAGTTTTATAATTTGGTGAAGGTGGAAAAAGTTGGTTAAGAAAAATATTAAGGGACTTTAGGCCAAAGTTTTTGTATTTACTTAACAATTTCAGCCTTTAGTTAGACTTCTTATGGGAATATTTTATATTAAATCATTTTAGTAAATATTTAAAACCATTTACAGGCTCTTTTCTAGTTCACCTTTCTAGTTAAGTAGAAGTCTTGATAGTCTAAGTGGCTGTTCCTTGTCATTTTAAAGTTTATATCCATTAACTACATGACCCGATTGAGAGGCTGTTGCTGCTCCATGCTCCGACTCATCCGCTGGCATTTCAGATGACACCTCCCCTTAAAAGTTTTCCATTTTTTCCAGCGCTACTTCTCCGTGTATTTGTTCCATCGTGGCCCTTGTTTCGATAACAACGAGGCTACATAAATAACTCGAGACACGAGTGAATTTAACAACTCAACACGCCGAGGGCGAAGAAGTTTTCCTCTGTTTTCCATTCGCCACTTGCATCTAATCTTGTGAAAACGAAAAAATATTAATGAGCCAAAAAAGTTTCTCTTTTATGGAATTCCAATACTGACTGACAGGCATTCTCGTGATGGGAAAAACTAGAGGAAAAACTCCATTACATTTCCCTGGACATGTTTGTCATTTACAAGTTGCGCGGCCAATTACTTTGAGAAGACAGCCAGCCAGCCAGCCAGCACTCCGGGAAAAATGGCTACGTCTCCGGCGGCTCATTATGAAAATGAAAGCAGTTTCGGCCCGCCGAACATGGGAGTCATCTAGTCCGCCAGAATTTATGCACACGAGCATATTCCATTGGGGAATTCGAGGTCGGGTCGATTGCCGTCGTCTGTTTGTCTATCAAACAAGGAAACTAAAAAGTTTTCGCAAAAAGCACCCAGACTCGGGCAGTGGAAAGTGGGAAAAAACTGGGAAAATTGATGAGAACGGGGGCAGATGGCTGGTGGCAAAAACAAACACTCGACTCAACAGACTCCGGTGGGCGTTAAATGGTGGTAGGGGAGGTGGGCAAAGGGCACACGACCTATATGAGCATAAAAGCATATACATATAGAGCATATATATGAAGCATCGATGTCGGCATAATCGAATGAGCGAAGGGTAATGGAGCGCCGAACGAAGGACACCCGCAACTGGACCCCATGGAATATGAATGCATCTCCGGCATCTCCATATAAATATCCCTCGATGGCGCAGCAAAGTGGAAGTCCAATCCCAGGGAATTCTCACTATATATTTATTGTCTTCTTCTCCAGCTCTCCTCACCCGGAAAACACGAAAGCGCACTCTGGAGTTGGGTGATGGGTGGTAATGGGTTGGGGTCCAGTGGGCGGTGAGCGGTGGTCGGTATGCTGAAATGAATTGAAATAAAATGATAAGCGTGAAATAATAATGAGGAGCGTGTTCCGGCATAAATCGGTTCGTCCTTTCTTGCCAATGGCTTGGAGTGCTTTTTGGGGTCCTGGCTGGCCATTTGCGTGTTGTAATCCATGTAATCGGCTGTGAAAAGTGTTTTACATGCGAGTCCGCTTGCATAAGCTGGGAAATGGAGCGTAGACGATAGGAAAACTCACATATGGGAAGGCAGAGATGACAGCCATTTTGTAACCCTTGGCCTTAAGTACTTGAGAATATTTTTAAATATTTTTTAAAATTTAAAAAAAAATGTTTTTATGTGTTTATGGCTCTTTGAGGTTCCCTAAAATAGTTTATTTTGTTCTTAAAAAATATTAAAACAGCTAATTGAAATACCTTTCCTTCTTCCTGTTCAGTGATAAGTTCGTTTTTATTTATTTTTTAATAATTTAATCATTAAAAATGTTTTTAATCAATAATATTCGCTGTTATTTTTATTTAGTAAACTTTAAAGACATAACCTACATATACTACTTAGTTACTTATTTTTTAGCAATATTAATTTCCTTCATATAAAAAAACATATTCCCATCTTTAACCCATTCCAGTTTGATTACACAGCGACCCCATGGAGCGAGGACTTAACCCGCCGGCAGCTGCTTCAGGTGAGTCTCCATCTTACCTTTCCCCATATATATTAAGCATATATATTTATAAGCATTTCGAATAAAAGTTATAATAATGGCAGCTCGCATAAAGTTGCATCTGTCGAGCGGGGAACTATCCCATTCAATGGGGTCGCAGGTGCAACTTAAAAGTCAGCGAAAAGTAGAAGGGGAGCCGAAATTCGCCTCAATTTTTATTTGCCAACATGATTTTTGCTAAATTACATTTCCTAGAAGAAGACCAGACTGCGTGTGTGTGTGTGTTTGGCATATGAAATAGTTGGGACTGAAGGTTGTACCTTTTGCTGTTTATTTTCCACATCCGCATACAGATCCTCTCGTTGTTCGATATGAAAAAGGCCAAAGTTGATCAAATAAATGGCGAAATTTCCATATTCCAGCGATAAGCAGGAAAACGTGTAGCTCAAAGATTTCCATCAACTCGAATCGCAATCGGAATAGGAATAGGAAAAGCGGAAAAGCGCAAAAAGGCGGGCGGGCGAGTAACAAGTTGTGCGAATCTCCCAAAAAGAAAGGGGGTGGTCCTGAACCTTGCACTGGCGGTGGCTGCGCGGGCAGGTAGAACTGTAGTCGCACAACCCTCATCGCTTAGCTAAGTAAATGGGTTGGCCCACGAACGTGACTTGGCCTGGCCTCCATCTCTAACTCGACTTCCCCGCCCCTGCCTTCGGTTATTTAGAGCACATGTCTCCTCCAGCTCGTGGTACTAGCAATGGCTGTACCATGGAAAAAATTTGATAAAAAACCAATCACATCTGTCAAGTCTTGGGGGGATTGGGAATTTAAAAATCTAAATTTGTTTCAGATTTTTGTTTTTATTAAAATTTTTATGGTTTTATCATGTATTTACCCCTTAAAGTTAAGTTGGGATTATATTTTGGAGATTTTCTATGATGTTTTGTTCATATTTTTGGTCAAAGGGAATACCCTAACATATTTATTGAAAGTCCTTTTAAGGGAGGTCCCCTAGCCCACTTTTTAAAACATATATCTCCTTTCCCCCTTTAAAGTTAACTTCTTAAGCGTTTACCCCACTGTGCCATTGCTTGGATTCTTTCGAGGAAGCCAGCTAAAGTCAGTCACGATTCCGAACTAATGAGGAATACACGTAATTACATGTGGTTACGCAATATCTGAAATTTGCCAGTGAGCTTGCCTCGTGGCATTGCGGCCCGCCCCCCCACATCTCTCGGCCACACAATAACACAGTTCCATTCGAGGAATCAATGCCCTGAGACAAACCCAGAAATTTAATAAACACGCAAGTGCACGGAAGTGAATTATCCCGTCAGTCAATTATGTATGTTTGTTGCTACGCCCCAAAGCGAACCCCACATGCTGCCTCACATTCTCGCCTAAGACCCGGTCTTGGACCTGGTTTTGGTTGTTGGGGATTGGGGATTGGGGCAGATGCCTTGAGACGCCACATAAATACCTCGTTTATTTTCCCCTACTCTGCGCCTGTGTGCTAGGAAGTTCCTGTGTTCCTGCTTCATTAAGCGCCCGTCACACTCGCTTCAATTGGTTGCTTTATTTGTGGCTGCAATTTGCCAGCCTTTCGAGCTTTTTAATTAAATGCCTGCTCTGCCTTCCTTCCTGCCTGTTTGCTTTGGCCCTACCTGCGCAGTCATCGAAGCCATTGTCGAAACCTAATTAAACGGTCCCCAGATCGTTTCGAAGGAGTGAACTTAGCCGGCATATTGTTCGCTTAAACGAAAATGAAAATAATAAAACTTAAGTTGCAGGTGGAAAATAGATAAGGCAGTAATTCTACTCAAAGAGTTATAGCCAGAAATAAAATGAAACTTGAAATGAAGTTGGCCAAAATTCCATTGAAATGAAAGTGAATTAAAAGTTATTTGTGGAGATAGTTTAGAGTTTAAATGAAATTTTTAAGTGAAATTATTCTGGGAAGTTAAGTTTACCTTACCTTACTTTAAGTTACCTCTTGATATTCAGAATGTTTCTGCATTATCTTTTTGTTTATACAGATATATAGTTTAAACCCAATCGAAGGGAAATTTAAGCCACATTTGGCAGTTGAGGACTCCTCCCTTAGACTCTCCATGTCTGAAAGGCTCTAAATAAATAATGAAATTACGTCTGCAGCAGACGAGTTCATGTAAGTGGCTCTGGCTCTGGTTCTGGTTCGGTTTTCTTCAATGGACGGAGTTCATTTGAAATTTTAATCAGCTCTTCGTGCTGCAAATTCCAATTGCCCCGCCAAATTGAATTAATTTGACTAATTTTCCCAGATACATTTGCATGGAACAAGCTTCTCCCCGGCTTTCCAGCTCTCTTAGGCCGACTTGATTACATTAAAGATGCGCAATTAGAAGAGCCTGCCCTGTGAATGGACAGAGACAGTCCGGCGGTAAGGGTTGCCCTAGATGGATGGCTATTCCAGCGAAGGGTTGGCCAGCGGCTTCATTATGTGCCAGAAGGTGCTGTCAATTTGGCAGTGCCAACAACCTTCAGCTCAGTTTCCACACCTTTTTGGGGTCCTCTGGGTTGGGGGAGTGGTTAAAGATATGCGCCTGAAGGGAGATATTAAAAGTAGGCGTAAAGAAGAAGGAAAAAACAAAATTATGAAATCATCTTTAATGTGTCACTGTAAAGAAAAAACCTTTAAGAAAGGTGCATTCAAAAATTCTAGTTAATGATTTATTGGAAATAAAATAAAAGTTGTTACTAATTCTGCTGCTAAAAAACTTGATTAACATGGAGTAGGTTGAAAGGGACTTCTTTCATTTATCTTTTCATTGATTTGTTTAAGGATTTCAAAAGTTTAACAAATTGATAAGCTTGAACACTTTTCTTCGAGTGCATTTGTTTTTTCTTGTTTCCCTGTTCGGACATTCCACAATTTTTGATGAAAAATTCTTGTCTGCTTTCGCCTTTGATTTATTTGCGTCAGAAATCCGAAGGCCGCGGCTAATTAAACAACCGAAAGAACAGAAGCAGCAGCACCAGCACCTATGTACAGTGGAGCGGCATCAAAAAAGTCGAATCAGCTTCGAATCGTAAACAAACTTTTGCCGGTTCGACTGTTAGAAGTGGGTGGTGTTGGGTGAGGGCAGACATAAACAGCTGCACACCGAACGGGTTCAAGTTGAATGAAGAAGCTATTTCGGAAGATGCACTGAAAGAAAATGTTTTTGAATTTATATTATAAAGCTAACAAAAAAAACCTTTAAATTTTGAAATTTAAGAAAATAAATGAAATTTTAAATTTAAAATATTATAAAAAATATTTCTTTAATCTTCACAGTTTTGTAATCCTATCATATGTTATAGAAATTTTAAAATATATTTTTCGAAGTGCACTAAAAAAGAACCGTTAGGTGCCATCTCAAAATCGAATCGAAAACTCACGTAGCAGCCACAGTGGGCCCAAGTAAAGTAGCAACCACTATGGTAGTGTCACTCTATCTCCCTTGCTCTAAACTCTGTTGGCATGCTGCATCCCTGTCGCACTTACACTTACAAGCACACACACACAGGTAGGGCGACTCCTGATGCGGCGGCCATTGAAACTGGCGGCCATTCCCCCTGCCGCCGCTTCGTCCACCTCAACGAGAACTGAGAACTGCGCAAAAACAAAAAAAAACGAAAGAACGGAATCTCTCGCACACACACACATCCAGACTCACGTAGCCTGGAATTGACTTGAGCCTGAATCGAGGCGAAAAATCTGTTGTTGTCGTTGTTGTTGTTGGAATTAAATTTATATTCTAGGCTGGGACACTACCCACTACCCCTCCCCCAGTGACCCTCACATACCAAAGTAGATAAATGTGAAAAAAAAAACAGAAACTGAAATTTGTTTGGGTCTCTGCGACTGCGACTGCATAGAACCCAACTGTTGTTTTTGTTTGTGACTCACCATAGATGGAGCCACATTCGGTGTGTTATTATTTTGTATATGTGCGTGCTGGGGCACATTTATTTACATTTTTTAATGCACCCAATAAAGAAAACAAAGCACAAACAAGTTTTCTACATCTCTCTCCCTCGCTCCTCTCATTTTTATTTTGCAGCGCTGGTTTATTTGTTTTTAAGTGGGCCCAACTTTGCCACCAGATATTCCTTGCCCCGCCAGGCAACTTATGTTTTGCCCAGATTTATGCGACATCGTTTTTTAACGATTAAACATAAAATTACTTTAATTTATTGGGTCACAATATTTGAAAGATTTCATTGTTGAGAGAAATCAGTAAATCATTATAAATTGCTGAATATATATTTTAGAAATATTTATTAATAAGCAGAGTAGCTATTAGGTTATGTTTTTTGCTTTTAAGCCAAATTCATATTCAGTTTTTGGTATCTCATAACTTTTGTTTGCATTGGTAGTTATGTCTTTGTGTTAATATATTTAATTAAAGCTAAACCATATTCAGCTTTAAATATCATTAAAAGGCAGTTAGGTTTTCATTTCTAAGGACTTAGTTATTAATATCTTGTTAGTTGTAGAAATAATCACTGACTCGATGTTATTACCTGTCAAACCAGACCATAAATAACCATATCTAATTGCACTTTAATGAGATTGCTTGAATGATTTTTATTTAAAATTTTGCATAAACTAGTTTAATTATATATTTAATCATTTAATTATTTAATAATTGATCAAGTAAGTGGAACCCAATAAACTAGTTAAGGTGACCAATATCTTATAACTATAAAATGGCAGAACATTTTATGACCCTCGCCATTCACTGCTCTCTGCTATTTGTGCCACAAAAATCGTAGCACAGCTCCCCCTTACAAAAACCCATGAAATATGAATGATGACCCTTGTTGCAGGGGCAATTAACTTGCGGTGCAGCATCGTAATGTCTGCCAATCTGCATAGAGGGGAGATTCAGATTAGAACAGAAAGCAGGGGTGTCGAGCGTTGAACCCAAGACTCCTCCTCGAAAGATACTCGCATAGAAATGGCTACATTTCGGGGCAATCCAAGTTAGTCTCTTTGG